TCATATGGCCGTACTCATGCTCATACAGGAGAGCCCAGAATCGAATCGACAAGTCGGATCGGCAATCGACACGAATCGTATCGGCGGAAATCGGCAGCCGAGTCGGGAAAAGTCGAATCGGCGGAAATCGGCAGGCTAGTATGCGTCCATTGAAAAATCGGAACCCAAATCAGAATCCCAAGTCGAATCGAATCGGAATCGGAATCCATCGAAATCGGATCGAATCGAATCGAGCCCTGTCATACCCCCTCCTCTTCCCCTCCTCCTCGGCGCCGACGAAGAGGACGACGACGACGACCACGACGCCGAGGCGGGCGGCGGCGGCAGCGCGGCAGCGGCAGCGGGCCGGAGCCCGGGGCGCCTCCGAGGCCAGGGCGGCGTGGTAGAGGCACCAGAGGGCCGTGCCTCCCGCCGGGCCCTTGGCCGCCGCCGCCGCCCTCGCCGCCGCCGTGGACGTGACGGTCACCTTCGTCAAGGTCCTCCTCCTCCTCCTCCTCCTCCTCCTCCTCCTCCTCCTCCTCCTCCGTCCTCCGTCCTCCGTCCTCCGTCCTCCGTCCTCCTCCTCCTCCTCCTCCTCCTCCTCCTCCTCCTCCTCCTCCTCCTCACCGTCGTCGTCGAGAGCATGGTCGTCGAGGTCGTCGTGGTCGTCGTCGTCGTCGAGGGCGCGGCCGTCGTCGGCGAGGGCCGCCGTCGGCGCGGGGTCCCTGTCGCCCTCTCGACCTCGTCGTGCTCCTCGGGCGCCGTGCGCTCCCGCGGAAGCCGACCCGGGGCCCTTCGGGTCGGGCGAAAGGGGGGGATAACAAAGGGGGGGTTTGAGAATCAGCTCACGTAGCTGATTTTCACGGCGCCTCCCGGCGCCGGAGGCGGCTATGTATCGAGGAATGGGCCCCTCGGTGAAGCCGAAACCAGCTGCATGCAGCAAATCTCGTAACCCTAAAACAGGGCTAGGATCGGGATAAATCGCTCCAGAGCGTTCCGGAGCGCTCTCAGAGCGTTCCGGAACGCTCTGGAGCGGCCGCGGCGCCCAATACATCCTCCAAACCCGCCGATTCTCAGAGATTTCGAGTTATCCCGATCCGATTTTGTCCCGATCTTCGCGTCGTTCTAAACCCCCCCTTTCCCAATCCCCCCCTTTCGCCCAGCCCGAGCCCTGGTCTGGGGTGTCCATCGTGGCCACGGCTGCGCTCGCCTCGAGGCTCAGCACGCCGCCCCCAGGGCAGGGTCGGGGGCCGATCCCTGCCGAGGGAGGGGCACCCGGGCTCGAGGCCCGGGGGAATTTCGGGGGGGAGGGGCCGGCGAGGAGCGAGGCCCGAAGGCCGAGCGTCGAGGCGTGCCTGGACGGCCTCTGGAGCTCCGGGGGCCTCTGGCGCCGCAGGCCGCACGCCATCCTCCTCCTCCTCCTCCTCCTCCTCCTCCTCCTCCTCCTCCTCCTCCTCCTCCTCCTCCTGCTCCCCGTTTGGGGGCCCGGCGGAGGCTCGAGCGTCCCTGGCTGCAGTCCACCCGTCCAATGTAAGGAGGCGCGGCATGAGAAGGACGCGCGGGCCGTTGACGCCCACTGGGCATCGCTCGGACGTCCATTCCCTGTGTTTTTCTTTCGGTTTCGTGTGTGGCTTTTTCGCCAAATGATCAAGGATGCTCCTCCATGGTCCTCGCCGAAGGAAAAATGCACACGTCCGAGCGATGCCAAGCCCATGCCGAGGCTCTTCGAGCGGGGCTGGCCATCGAAGGTGGTTGAGGATGGGCCGACGATGGCCGAAGGGAGGCGGCGCGCCCAGGGGGGAAGGGAGAAGGAGGAGGCCTCCTCAGAAGGCTCGGACATTCCCGGGACTTCTGGGAAATGTTCCAAGCCTTCCCCGAGGACAGAAACAGCTTCTCAGAAGGCCGGAGGCCTTCTGAGAAGTCCCGCCGCCTTCTGAGAAGGCCTTCTCCTTCTCATTTCCCCCCCTCGCTCGCCTCCGAGAAGAGGCACGGATGCAATGGTTCCATTGGGAAGTCGATCCTCCTTGCGTGGGAAAATTACTACATCTATCCTTGTCCAGGGTTGTTTGTCGCCCACCGCGAATAAAGCGGTTCCCCACTACGATGGCAGAGCCGCTCTATCAACATTGCGGCTGTCGTCTGGCACCGCGAGATCGCTGCACCCAAGAGACAAGGCATTGGCGCGCGCGTTGCAATCAGCTGGCTAACATGTGGGGCCAAAGAACTCGTCCGCCGAAATTCTGGACGGTTACCGCACAGCCGGAGAGCGAATCACATGAGCGATCCGGCGAATCCAACGGGAGGAGATGATCAGCCCGATCAGCAACCCTCCAGGGAAAAAAGCCGCCGAGATGGGGACCTCCCAAATTGGCGGAACTCACCCCCGAGCGGGTGGGGCCCCAATGGTTCATGAACGTCTTTTTCAGACCCAAGGCCTCCTCCTCCCTCCTCCTCCTCCTCCTCCTCCTCCTCCTCCTCCTCCTCCTCCTTCCGCCTCCCTCCTCCTCCCTCCTCCCCTCCTCCTCTCCCCCTCCTCCTCCGCCTCATCCTCCTTCTCCTACTCCTCCTCCCTCCTCCCTCCTCTCCTCCTCCTCCTCCTCCTCCTCCTCCCAATGTTTCATGAACGTCTTTTCCAGACCCGAGGGAACTATCGAAGCCATCCCCAAACGATGAGAGCCCCCCCCCCCCGGCCCCCACAGACCCGTGAACACCCTCGCGTCGAGGCACGTCGCGCCCTGGCGCGCCCGCAGGAAGCTCTCGCGAGGCAGAACGACGGGAAAAAGCATGTGTGAATAGTCAGTGGTGGTCCTCCTCTCCTCCTCCTCCTCCTCCTCCTCCTCCTCCTCCTCCTACCTCCCGCCTCTCCTCCTCCTCCCCCCCCTCCTCCTCCCCTCCTCCCTCCCTCCTCCTCCTCCTCCTCCTCCTCCTCCTCCTCCTCCTCCTCCTCGACGCTTCGTGCCATATCGCCCCGCCCCCCCCAAAGGCCGCCCCGCCCCGCCCCCCCCGGCGGCGGCCCGCGAACGGCGACGCCGCGCTGCTGCTCTGGACCGCCGCCTCGCACAGCCTGCCACCCAGAGGGGCCGGCGAGGCGCCGCCGACGACGCCGACGACGCCGACGACGCCGACGACGCCGACGACGACGACGCCGCCGCCGACAACGACGACGACAACGACGACGACGCCGACGCCGACGACGACGACGACGACGACGACGCCGCCGCCGCCGACGACGACGACGACGAGCGATGCCCCCTTTCGGCACGCCGCGGGCGGGACTCGGGCAAGAGGCGAGGCTGTTGGGCAAAGCGCGCTGATGGATGCCCCAGAGGGGGCTGGGTGCGGGACACCCCCCCCCCACCCTCCCCCTCCCCCCCTGTTCCCCGGTCCGTCGCCTGGGGTCCTTCCCCCCCTGTTCCCCCCCATCCTTGATCCGTCGTCCTGGCCCACCCCCTTTCCCTCTCCCCCATCTTTCAAAACAAATGGAAGCGTTTGGACCCCCCTTCGCCCCACTTGGACTCGAAAATCTGACCCCCCCCCCCCCCGCATTCCCGCCCCCTGTTGGGCCACGCTGCCCCCTCGGCTCTGGATGCCTACGCCTACCACCCTACAGCCCGAACCGCACTACTGCGACCTCAGCAATCCAGCCTTGACACCCGAATCTTAACACCATTGACCTAACATCTGAACCCCAACACTCCAAACCAAACAACCCTACGGTAGGTTCGTGCGGCGTCGGCGCGCGCGAAGGTTTTTGACACCGCGTCGATCGTTGAACCTTGACTCGACCGCGGCCCGATCGTCCGTCGGGTCCAGTGGCGTTACGGTGTCCCTCGGTGGTTCCGCGTCGCAGAATTCAACCTTGAACGCCTTCGCCAACGTCGCCGGCGTGCCAACGCCGCATGGACCTATCGTAACACCTCAACCCAAAAACACCCGAAGCGTAACAGTCGGACCCCGAAACCCTAAGCCTAACACCCAAATTCTAGCACCCGAATCCTAACAGCTTCAATTTTCAGTCCTATCATTGGATCGTGAGAAGCCATTCTACGCCCTTTTGGCCAGCCCCCGACCAAGTCCAAAACGACGTGGGACCGCGATCCGTTCTGCGAGCCGTTGCAAAAAACGGAACGGTGTGCACACCCGCTGATCGTGGTATCTTCCCATATGGAAGCGAATTCAGGTTCCGAATGGTACGGCGTGATCATTTATGATCCTCTGCAAATCAGTGAACATACAATCCGGTGCACATTCACCGGTGTGAATCTGCACGACTCCCTGCAAACAACGCCATGCGGTGCACATCCGTTGATGCCGATCAGCACGATCCTCCCCAACGAAAACTATTCGGTGCACACCTATTGATCGTCAGAACGACCCAACTCCAACTATCCATTTGCAAGGAACATGGTTGGTGGACATCGACTGACTGGCAACCAACAGAAACCATCCTATACAAAGATGGCCCTATAAGCGCCCACAAGGGCCCCAAGACGAGCCCAAAACGGCCCAGGAGGGACCCAAGACGGCCCCAAGACGCTCCAAGAGGGCCCCCGAGGGGGGCTCCAGACGGCCCAAGAGGGCCCCCAAACAGCCCAACTGGGCCCCCTGACCGCCCTAGAACAGATGACATACACCCTTACATATACCTATGCATACATATACAGATACATTGACATATACACCTACACATTCATATACATGTGAATATGCATATACGTGTGCATATGCATATGCATATCCATATGCATATACATATCCATATGCATATACGTTCACATGGACGAATACATATACATTAATATAAGCATTCGCGCATACATACGCATATATCCATCTGCAAATATGTACACACAACTATACATCAACATATATGCATACATATGCATACATATACGAATACATGCGTAAACATACCTATACCTATACACACATCTGTAAACACATTTCGCCGTGAAGTGCTCATGGCACGAAGAGGTCTGGGTCTCTTCCCCTTCCTGCACGCCCTTTTCCGCGGCGAGGCCTCAGAGGGGGGCGCAGGGAGCGCCGCGGCGGAGCCTGCCGCACGCTCGCGAGAGCCGCAGGCACGCTGCGCCGCGGGAGCCTCGGGGGACCCCCTCCTTGTGGAGGGAACCCCCGCGGCCGGTCCCAGCAGAAGCACGCCCGCAGCTGGCGCAGCGGATGCAGGCAGCGGGGCCTCGGTCACTGCCGCGAGGGGCCTCCGCGGGAATCTGGGAGGAGAAGCAGCGGCGTAAGCGTAAGCTCGTGGCGCTCTCCGCGTGGCTCCCAGGAATCCGCGCGGAGCGCCACCAGTTTATGTTCATGACGCTCCTTCTTCTCCTTCTTCGACGTATGCAGGTAGCGGGGCTTCGGCCGCCACGAGGGACCTCCGCGGGAAGCACGGGGCTAGAACCTCAGGGACCTTGGCGGGCTCGGGTCCCTGGGGTCTCGGACATCTGGCGGCATCTCGTACGCGCTGCACCAGCAGCCGCCAGAAGTCTTTGTGAGAACGGTGAAGGCCTGTCAAGCCCGATGGATGGGCAACGAAGCCGGATAAGCCCATAGGACGCCCAGGATTAAGCCGAATTCAACTAAGCGAAACCAGAAGTGAGCAGAGTTAAACAAGATTCTGCCATAAGGCTGGAATTCGAACGCGGGTCTATCCAGCGGTCGGAAGAAGAAGGCATAAGCATGAGAGAGAGAGCCTGATCCACCGCCGCTTTGCCGTGGAAAAAAACCCGGGGTCCCCCCCCGTCCTCTGAAAATCCCCTCCCCCTTCCCCTTCCCCCTCCTCCCCGGCAAACCTTCCCCCATCAACCCATCACCCCCCCCCCTCCGGAAAACAGGGGGGGCACTACCAGTTCGTACCCCCCCCCACCCCACGAAACCGAGGGGGGTCACTACCGGTTCGAACCCCCACTCGCCACCGGCGAACGACTAGTGGGTCCTGGTGCACCACCGTCCTCACCACCGCCCTCACCACTGTCTCCATCACCACCGTCCCTACCACTGTCCTGTCCCACTGTGCTGTCTCACTGTTCCCACTGTCCTCACCACTGTCCCACTGTCCCCACTGTCCCCACCACTGTCTCCACTGCACCACTGTCCCATTGTCCCACCACCGTCCTCACCACCGCCAGCACCACTGTACCCACCACCACCACCGTCCCCACCACTATCCCACTGCCCCCACCACTGTCCCACTGTCCCCTCATCACTGTCCCCACCACCACCGTCCCCACCTCTGTCCCACTGTGCCCACTGTCTTCACCACTGTCCCACTGTCCCCACTGTTCCCTCCACTGTCCCCACTGTCCCCACCAGTGCCCCCACCACTGTCCCACTGTCCCCACTCCCCATTCCCATCCCCGAAAATCGTCACCAGACTATTTTTAAACTATTTTTGACTATTCCCTCTGTAGAGGGATCTGCCCGACTTACTCCAGAGTCGAGGCTGCGAACAGGGCGACGTCGCCGGAGCAGCAGGCTGGCCACCAGAGCCGGTCACAGCTCCCCCTGACTTGCGCCGACCGGATGGTTTCTTCGAGGTGGAATTTCCCTGGCCCCCTCGGGTCATGAAAAAATCACGGCGGAAGGTTTTTTGATATTTTCGGCCTCCGGAACGACTCGGGATGAGAAACCGATCCCGGGGAACGGGTCGACAACTCTGGGGTCGACGGTATGAAAAAATCATGACCCGCGACCTCCGAGTGGTCTGAACAAATGGCGGCGGTCAGCTTTCTCAGAGATGGGGCGGGCCTCAGTAGGCTTGGGAAGTCTCGGGCCTTCTGAGAAGTTGTCTGAGCCTTCCCCGAAGAAAGCGTATCAGAAGGCGCGAGGGCTTCCGAGAAGCCCCGCCGCCTTCTGAGAAGGCCTGCCCCCTTTCACTTCCCCCCTGGGCTCGCTGCCGAAAACGGGTTTGATGCGTCTCCTCAGGGGGCAGGCGCACGTAATGCAGCGGGTGGGCGGGAAGGGCGGGAGTTTGTAGTCACTCTTGTGCGGAGCATCGTTGCCGCGCCTCGCAGCGTGTGATTGCGAACCTATTGCTGCATCACTTGCTGCATGTGTATGCATGCAGGTTTGTATTGTTTCAGGATTGCTTTCGTGACCCGTAGCCGCCGAGGCCCGAATCTAGAAGTCTCTCGACACGTCCTGCGTGAAGCCAGGCAGGAAAAAACGACGCAAGTTCAGAAGCGTAAGAGCTCTCTGGCTTCATCCTGGTTTCATCGTGCCCGAGGTCATTCACCCTTCTCTCGGGGGGCGTTCAAGAGTGGGGCGTGGAAACGGGGGTTGGTGTATCATGGTCCGAGGCATGTGCGCGGCCCAAGGGGGGCCAAGGGACGTATTGAAAGAAACAGGGTGGCCACAAACTACGGGGAAATATCACGTCCCTGGCTATGACATCCACACAACCAAACTAGTCCCTACCCCTGTCTTGGACGTCCACGAGGCGCCCTGTGAGCTTCATAGAATCACTCGGGATGGAAGACTCGCCTGGGGGGAGGAGAAGTCGAGAGGTCCATGGGCGGCAGCGGCCAGGAACATCTGGACGTCGGGTGTCTGAGGAGCCCTGGGGTGCTGACTCCAGAGCCACTTCAGAGAGAGTGCGAGGACAGAGGGTGAGGAGGAGGAGGAGGAGGAGGAGGAGGAGGAGGAGGGGAGGAGGAGGAGGAGGAGGAGGAGGAGAAGAGGAGGAGAAGGAGAGGAGAGGAGGAGAAGTGGTTTCCCACCCGTCCCGCAGTGCTCATGGGGGTTGTCGTGGACTCACTCCTTTCTTCTAGGAGGTGGTGGAGAGGAGGAGGAGCAGCAGTGGCGCCGAACTGCTGCTCCTCCTCCTCGAGGAGGAGGGAAGGAGAGGGGGGACGAGGAGAGGAGGCGGGAGAGGTCCACCCCAGAAAAGAAGGGGGGAAGGGAAATCCCATCAGCCCGCTGGGCGTCAGAGAGCGTCTTCTTCCAACCCCCTGCTTCCCCTTCGGGGAGAGGTTTATAACTATTCCCTATCCCCCAGACGACCAGCAGCCAACCAGGAACAATGAGGACCCCGTGACCCCCCCAAACCATCTTTGTCAGCCAAAACAGCAATGCCTCCAAATTCGGAGAATGCGCAACCAACCTTAAGCGCCCCCCCCACACTATCCTTGTCAACAAATCAATACTCAGTACGCTTTGGGGCAAAGTCTGGAGTCATGTTCGTGAGGCCCGCGATCACTTTGCATCGTTGATTGACAGGGATGGCGTGGGTGTCAGCATATTGCCTGCTGTGCGCAAGGCTACCATCCCTAACACAAAAACTCTACAACATGCACCTCGCGGCTAAATCTGGATCATGCGCGGCCACCCGCGATCACTGTCAAGTGGTTTTTGCTAGGGACGGCAGGGGTGGTGGCGCATGGCATGCTATGCGCAGGCCCACCAGACACCCTGACGGGCAATGGTTTTCTACAAGGATGGTGCGGCCGACATGCTTCCCGATGTGCGCTGTCACGTGCGCAGGTGCACCTGCCACACTCCGCACGTGCCCCGAACGTGGAGCACCTGCCGCAGCTGACACCCAGCGCACGCGGAGGCACGTGGCGCATCTGGCGCGCCAGGCGTGCCTGGCCTGCTCGGCCCCCAGGGGTGCCCGGCGCGCGTGGCGCGCCTGGAACGTGTGGCGCACCTCGCCCCAGCGTCGCGCACATGGGCTCGGTGTTGGGCTCCCAGTGACTGCCCATCCAAAGGCGGCCGCTGAACATGCTCAGGCTCGGGTGTTGCTTATGTGTTGGGAGGGCGGGTGGGAGTGAGCTAGACGGCTCTTGTTATCTAGGAGGGTGTCTTGACCCCTCCACCGACCCACCCCCCTGGACATGGACGGGGGGGGTCCGCGGGTAAGTGGAGCGTCCAACATGGCCCAAGACGGCTCCAAGGGGGCCTCGGAGAGGGGGGAAAAGGAACGTTCGAGGCCGTGGGCACCATTGCAGGGCGCGGGCGAGCGCTTGATATCCGTGCGGCCCCGCTGCCGGAGCTGCGCCCACAAGAGGTTACGGGGGCAGATTGGGGGAGCGTCGTTTGCCTCAGGCGTCCAACTGCTCCAAAGAGGCACCATGGGCTCCGTGGGCAAAGTCCATGGGACACCTCGTGGCTGGCCGAAGTCCTCTTCTGCGCACGGTCCGTGGAGGAGCCGTGCCATGACCAGCACAGCAGCAGTCCGCTTACAAAGGCAACGCCAGCTCCTAGAAGCTCGCAGGGAAAATGAGGGCGAGAAAGACACGAGCACTCGCAGGAGGCGAATTCCGCCTCGCGAACAGGTGACGGGAGGAAGGGCAGTGTAATCAGGAAGCGCTCCCATATCTGAAGGGGCCCTGGAACACACACATAAATACACACAAATAAAAAGTTGCCCCATATTTTCGCATATTTTCTGGGTTTCTGTCTTCCCACCACTTCCCATATTTTCCCATATTTTCTGGGGAGTCGAGGATTAATCGTGTCTTGTTTTTTCTCCTGAATATCGTTGCGCTGAGCACCACTGGCTTCGCCCCAGCCCGGGGGCCCGCCGAGGATGCAGGGAAAACCTTGAGCTGGGGAAACCAACAAGCACCCACACCGACCTCTCCCAGGGTGCGTTCTGACCACTATTTCGAAGCGAATCCAGCGGTGGCGACGAGGGCCTCCCAAGGAGGCCCCAGAAAGGGGAACGCGAAGGAAGGGCAGAGGTATGGGTACCTTCTCCTCCTCCGGGGAGCACTGCAAGCGAGGATGCCCGCAGCGCCAGGAGCTAGAGGCCTCCTAGATTGGGTCGGAGAAGATGAAGTCGGACGATCGCGCTGGATGGCCGATACATCGGCGATGCATCGGCGCGGCATCGGCGCCGTTGGCGTGGAGAAAATCGGGCTCCACATCGAGCCGCATCGCCGATGCATCGCCGATGCGGCGCGATCCTCCCACCCCATCTGCTCGGACCCCATCTATCGACAAGCGAGTTCCACTACTCACGATGGTAGCTGCTCGCAAATGTCCTGGATCTGCTGCGGGGGATTTGCGATCCATCACAAAAGAGAAGACATGTTGTTGTCGGACGTTTGCGAGTAGGCACTTTTAGAAGAAGAAAGAACGGCATACACATGAACTTTTGGCGCTCCGCGTATATTTCTTGGATCTGCGCTGGACCCCCCCCCCCTGAGGCGCGCAGCGCGCCAAAGGCGGCGCCCAAGGCGCCGCCGGGGGGCCCAGCGCGGATCCAAGAAATCCGCGCGGAGCGTCAAAAGCTTGTTTGTTATGTCGTTGATTATTTTCCGAACTTTGCGAGTTGGTGGTGATGATGGTGATGATGGCGACGATGATGCTGATGATGCTGATGATGGTGATGATGATGGTGATAATGCTGCTGGTGCTGATGATGATGCTGATGATGATGCAACTAATGATGACGATGATGCTGATGCTGATGATGACGATGATGTCGATGATGGTGGTGATGCTGATGATGATGGTGATGATGATGAGGGTGATGATGCTGATGGTGATGATGATGACGATGACGATGACGATGATGATGATGATGATGCAGATGATGATGATGGCGATGATGATGATGATGGTGATACTGCTGATGGTGATGATGGCGATGATGATGATGGTGATGATGGTGATGATGATAATGATAAATATGAAGGTGATGATGATGATGATGACGATGATGATGCTGATGATGATGATGATGCTGCTGCTGATGATGATGATGGTGATGATGATGGTGATGATGCTGCTGATGATAATGATGATGATGACGATGATGATGATGATGATGGTGATGATGACGATGATGATGATGATGATGATGCAGAGGGCGACGAATCCAGGAGGCCTCGAGCAGCGCCAGGAGCGCACACGAGCTCACCCGGAGCCTCGCAGGCCTGACGGGCAGCGGCCGAGGGCCGGACGGGGCCGCCTGCCCCGCCGCCTCTCGGAGGGGGGGGGCGCCGCCGCGCGGCGGCGAGGCGCGCGCCCGCGGTGGGCCGCCGCTTCCACGCCGCGCCGCCGCCGCACCCTCGCTTGCGCCTCTCTGCGCCTCCTCTCCCTACCTCCTCCCTCTCCCCTCTCCTCCTCCTCCTCCTCCTCCCCTATTCCTCCTCTCCTCCTCCCTCCTCCTCCCTCCTCCTCCTAATCCCTCCTCTCCTCCTCCTTGACTGATCCTCCTCCTCCTCTCCTGATAATCCTCCTCCTCTCCTCTCCTCCTCCTCCTCCTCCTCTGCTCCCCCCCTCCTCCTCCTCCTCCTCCTCCTCCTCCTCCTCCTCCTCCTCCTCCTCTGCCTCCTCCTCCTCCTCCTCCTCCTCGTGTTCATCAGTGAGGAGGGCCTCGACGTCAGAGGCAAGCTCTCGCGGGAGGGTGGGCCCCGGGCGGCGGCGCGCGGGCGGGGAGGCGCCAGAGGGGGGCGGCCGTGCTCAAGCAGGCGGGGGACCTCGGAGAGAGTCAGTTCGGGAGGTTCCTTCTGGAGCCGGCCAAGCCAAGCAGGAAGCCTTCCTCTCGGCATCCAACAGGCACTTTTCTGTATGTGGGAGGGGCCCATGGACACTCACAGGCATAGGCGGAGTCGAACCCCAGGACTCCCCCTACTTTCCCCTACTCTCTGGGTGCTCGTCTTCCCCTCCACTTCCAACCGTTGTCTGTGTCTCTGTCTGTGTCTGTGTCTGAGTCTGTGTGTGCGTTTGTGTGTGTGTGTCTGAGTGTGTGTCTGTGTGTGTGCGCGCGCGTGTGTGTGTGTGTGTGGTGTGTGTGTGTGTGTGCGTGTGTGTGCGTGTGTGTGGGTGTGTGTGCGTGTGTGTGCGTGTGTGTGCGTGTGTGTGTGTGCGTGTGTGTGCGTGTGTGTGCGTGTGTGTGTGTGTGTGCGTGTGTGTGT